TTTGAAGCTTCACCCACTCCTAATGGTCTCTTTATTAGTCAATTAAAATATGCTCAAGATATTCTTACTCGTGCTCAGTTGCTTAATAGCAAACCAGTTCACACTCCTATGGTTGTTTCTCAACACCTGACTGCTGATGGTTCTCCTTTCTCTGATCCTACTCTCTATAGATCTCTTGTTGGCGCCCTTCAGTACTTGACTATTACGCGTCCAGATATTGCCTATGCCGTCAATTTTGTCAGTCAATTCTTGCATGTCCCTACTGCAGATCACTTTCTTGTTGCCAAACGTATTATTCGCTATGTCAAAGGAACACTCCACTTTGGTCTTACCTTTCGTCCATCCACTGTTCCTAGTACGCTAGTCGCTTATTCGGATGCTGACTGGAGTGGTTGTCCCGATACTCGTCGTTCTACATCCGGCTATTCTATTTATCTTGGTAGCAATCTCGTTTCTTGGAGTGCCAAAAAGCAACCTACTGTCTCACGCTCCAGCTGTGAATCTGGTTATTCGTGCTCTTGCCACAACTGCTGCTGAACTCCTTTGGTTACGCATCTTTTGCATGACCTCAAGGTCCCTATTTCACAACAGCCCTTACTCTTATGTGACAACAAAAGTGCTATTTTTTTTAGCTCTAATCCCGTTTCTCACAAGCGGGCCATACATGTTAAACTAGATTATCATTTCCTTCGAGAACTTGTTATTGGCAAACTTTGCACACAATATGTACCCTCTCATCTCCAAGTTGCTGACATCTTCACAAAAAATATTTCTCGGCCTCTCTTTGAATTTTTTAAATCCAAGCTTCACGTTCGTTCAAATTCGACGCTTAGCTTGCGGGGGGTGTTAAGGATAGTTGACCGTTCATTATAAGGCAGATATTTGCTTACATTACGGCTTACCATATTTGCGATTTTATTAAAGGCAAATATATTGTATCCATTTATTGTTCTTTCCTTTTATTGCTATTTCCATATTATTTGTAATTTACCATATTTCTGTATTCGGTAAATTATTATAAATAAGAGAACTCTTACCACCATTTAGGTGTGGTGGATTCAGCAAACATTTACAGTATGCCTTGATGGTTTGTTAGGCTTCTAGGGAAAAGGTTAGGTCTATACTTTAGTGACTTGTCGCTCTAACCACAAATCCCTAGACATTATCATAAATGTGGGTCATGAAAATTAACGGAGTGTGCACACAGCTATCATCCAGCATCATCATACATAATTCATGCAAAGTAAACATACATGCTCAACAGGGCGATAACATCCATCAACTCCCGGAGGGCAGAGTTCACAAGTTTCCATCCCTCTTTCAGCATGAGTGAAACATATACATATAAGGCGGAAGCTTAAAACATAATTGCAACACTAAGATGATTCTCATAATACTCCACGTAATACATCCATACTCTAAACAATCAAATTACCTACATTCAATCATGAAAAGCTAACACCTAAGATAATTAAACTAGCATCCATGCATAACCAAGTGACTCTTACAAGTATTTCTTCCTAAATTCCATGTGGTGACTTACATGATTGATGCGTGCCCTTCGTTTAGCGTTTCAACACCAATAACGTGTCCAAAAATACTAATTTTCTCCAATTAGAGCCTATTTAATATAAAAATAGGATTAGAGTTGGAATCAAGAGGGGAAATCAGGAAAACAGAAGTCGAACGGGACGAAAACGAGCTTACACGCGCTCCCACGTGCATGAGAAAGAGATACATGCGCATGGCCACGCGCGCGTCCTCGTGCTGACACGTGGCGCGTTCGGGTTGGTCATTCGCTGATGAGTGTCTTGATGAACTCCGAAACTCCTACTCCAATCCGAATTAACTACAACTTCCTTCACAAGTGTAATCCTCCCTAGATCATCCTGCTCAAATTTCAGATTATAACTCTTACTATATCTTACAGATCTTAAGGAATTCGAGAATCTAGATTCAAGAACTTTACCTTTAAATTTTCCTCGTTTCTTGACGGTTTTGGGCGATTTAAGAGTCAAGATTGTTCTCCTCTAGGTTCTATGAAGATTTCGTGAAGAAGGCTCGGCCGAAATCAAACTCCTCGTGGCCGAAGCGGCGATTACCTCTCTCCCCCTATTTTCTTTTCTATTCTTTTCTTTTCCGCTCTTTTCCTTCTTTTCCTTTTTCCCTTTATTTTTCTTTTTCTTCTTTTAATCATATGTTACTAACCTCAAGTTCGGGTGCTTAATGAGAAGGGAGGGCAAAATGACCGAATTACCCCTCCAAGTTGACTTCGACCATATTTATAATTTTCCATCATTTTTCTTTTATATTTTCCTTTAAGTTCTTTTATTTCTAAGCATTTTTCCCTCCTACATCATCTCGAGATTTGGTTCCTAAGACCCTTGATAAGATTTAGGAAGATCGAATTTTAAAGGAAAAATTAGATTTTAATTTCCCATCATGGCGGCTTGAGTCTTACAAATTCACCCCTCCTTAAAAACTTTCGTCGTTGAAAGTTGGCATCTGTTGGAAGAACTTGGGACAGACATTTTTCATGTCTCTTCACGTTCCCAAGTTGCCTCTTCATCACGGTGGTTACACCATGAGACTTTTACTAAGGAACCGACTTTGTTGCGCAAGTGCCTAATGTCACGGTCTGACACAATAGAGACTGGCACCTCTTCAAGCGTACTATCTCTTTGACATATAATAGATCTTGTCGATCTACTAGACATGTATTCTCACCGGGAACAAAGTAAGATATCTTACTTGGTCTGTTCCCAACTACCTAGATCTCGTTAAAACTTTACATGGTTTTTGGCAAACTTGAGATAAAACTCATATACAGTACTTCCTATGTAAGGATTGTAGTAATCTTGCTGGGCGATGTCTAGGGGGTCTTCACCTGCTAGCAGGTCAAGCATCGACCTACAAAATCCGTTATGTCATTCCCCATACCTGGTCACTAGTAGAATCCTTTCAGATTCTAATACATTTTCGTACTTCCTTGGCAGAAGATATAAGATATATATCGTGAGCTCGGTCATGATCTTTTTCAGGATTTTCTCATCTCGAGAAACTCACAGGCGGTCTTGTCATAGCAAATCCCCATTAGAGATCTCATGATATTAGGCTCATGCTCACAAGTGGACAAGAGATCTCAAGATAAAATGAGTGTACAACCGACATTTCAAAATCTACTTTCGTGTTTTCTTCTAAATCGTGTTCTGATAATAAATCTAAAATTTAAAATAATTATGTCGACTGCATCTCATTTCTAATTTCTAGTTTGAATTAGTTATGAAATATATGATATTCGTAATCGTTTAATATTTGAAGTTTAAATTAGTTAGGGAATATACGTGAGATATGTGTAATAGTTAAATTTGATTAGTACAATATTTTATTTTATTCTCAAAATTTAGTTAGTTTATATGTGAATATCGATGAATATTAAATCTTAGGTCCCAATTCTATTTGTGAATATCTATCAAGATTGAACCTTCGATCTCAATTCTATTTGTGAATATCGATGAAGATTGAATATTCGATCCCAATTCTATTTGTGAATATCAATGAAGATTGAACATATCTATCGAGATTGAACCTTTGATCTCAATTCTATTTGTAAATATCGATGAAGATTGAACATTCGATCCCAATTCTATTTGTGAATATCAATGAAGATTGAACATTCGATCCCAATTCTATTTCTGAATATCGATGAAGATTGAACCTTAGATCCCAATTCTATTTCTAAATATTAGTGAAGATTGAACCTTCGATCTCAATTCTATTTCTGAATATCGGTGAAGATTGAACCTTCGATCCCAATTCTATTTCTGAATATCGGTGTAGATTGAACCTTCGATCCTAATTCTATTTCTGAATATCGGTCTGAATATCAGTGAAGATTGAACCTTAGATCCCAATTTTATTTCTGAATATTAGTGAAGATTAAACCTTAGATCCCAATTTTATTTCTGAATATCGGTGAAGATTGAACCTTCGATCCCAATTCTATTTCTGAATATCGGTGAAGATTGAACCTTCGATCCCAATTCTATTTCTGAATTTCGGTGAAGATTGAACCTTCGATCCCAATTCTATTTCTAAATATCGATGAAGATTGAACCTTCGATCCCAATTCTCTTTCTGAATATCGATGAAGATTGAACCTTCGATTTTAATTCTATTTCTGAATTTCGATGAAGATTGAACCTTCGATTTCAATTCTATTTCTAAATTTCGATGAAGATTAAACCTTCGATCCCAATTCTATTTCTAAATATCAATGAAGATTGAACAATTTTATTTCTAAATATCAATGAAGATTGAACCTTCTATTTCTAAATATCAATGAAGATTGATCATTCCATCCTAATTCTATTTCTAAATATCAATCAAGATTAAACCTTCAATCCCAATTCTTCTTTCACTAATAGAGGTTTGTTAGGGGAGAGAAATTTGGGAGAAGAGTTTGTAAGAAGTGGAGAGAAGTTTGGGAGAGGGTGTTCCAGATTATTGAGAGGGAGTTCCACTTTGGCTGAGGCTAGAACATGTGTTTATAAATAGAAAATACATCTGCTGGGAATACATCTAGATTGGCACTAGCCATTTTTATTATAAAGAACTAATAATCTTCATTGGTACTACGAGCCTTTTGGTACCAAGCCCAATTGGTTATAAAGCCATTGGTACTACGAGCCTTATGGTACCAAGCCCGATTGGTTATAAAGGAGAAATAATCTTCATTGATACGAAACCTTTTAAGAAATTAAAAGTAAGGTTACTAGAGCTTATATTTAAGATAGACAATATCATCCGATTGTGAAAGTCATGATCCCTGACATGTATCAAAGTTGTCAGAGTTGTCAGAAATTATAGTCATGCCCACCTAAATATATGAACAATTATATCATAGCCATATATATAAAGGGCTTGGGAAGAAAACACCTACAACTCATGATGAAAACAATACCTCGCCAATACAACGGAGATAATGCAGCTACGCCTGATTAATACCATAAAACTTTGTCCGTGATCAAAGGGCTCGCTTAACCTGGATCAAGTTTCAAATCGAACCAGTTCGATATACAACAATGCCTATCCAATCTCAGAGCTTTAAATTACAAAGCTCCAACACAGTTGAGATCATCATGTGGTATTCCTCCTATTCTAAATGTAAGCTCCTGTTCTTGCAAAGGATGGAAAACACGTATAAACAGGCAACTTAAGCCAGGTTATCTTACTCGATATACGATTTCAGATTTCAATACACAGCTTTAAATTACAGTGCTAGCGAAACAGTCTTTTTTCACGTGGTATTCCCCTTACCGTAGATGTAAGTTCTTGCAAAACATAGGAAAGCAGCCAACCCAACAGCACTAAGCCCAGCAAGCAACCAGTAGAAGTAATCAAGATGAGCTTTGTTCAGATTATTATTGAACCAGCTTTCTTTGCCATCCCCACTGCTTAGATTTTCAATGGCAGAGATGAGAAAGCTGCTTAAGAAGTTGCCAACGCCAAAAATACTCAGGTACAGCGACAGACCGATGCTTCTTAATCCGCTCGGAGCCTGGTCATAGAAAAACTCCTGCAACCCAACCATGGTGAAAGCATCGGCAACTCCAAATAGTACATACTGAGGAACCAGCCACCATATACTCAAAGGAACAGTCGCCTTTGGCAGATCAACCAAACCATATTCTTGAGCTGTTTCGAGCCTTTTTATCTCGACTAATGCAGCAATGACCATGGAAAGAGCAGATAATAGCATCCCAAATCCAATTCTCTGTAGCATTGTAATTCCAGAAGGTTTCCCAGTGAAATTTCTTGCAATCGGAATGAGTATGCGATCATATATCGGGAGGGAAACGACAATGGACAGACCGATAAAGGATTGAAGTGAAGCAGCAGGTACGTCGAATCCAGGAACTATTGATCTGTTCATCGTGACTCCTTGTTTAGTAAAGAAAGTTGATGACTGGGAGAATACAATAGCATATGCTAAGCATGTAACCCAGATGGGAACAAGCCTAAGTACTGCTTTTGCTTCCTCAACTTCACTGATGGTACATGTATGACCGCCTTCCTTCGAACTATAAGGTACAATCAATGCTTTGTTGAGGAACCTACCAAAGTATAGAATCCAGAAAGAAAAGGGTTACAATAATACATATAAACTGGCATGTAAATCAGCCCACGTCAGTTGGGGAGGAGAACAAAGCATTCTTTACAAGGATGTGAAAACCTCTCAAAAGCTTGAAGGGAAGCCCAAAAGGGTAAGCCCAAAGAGGACAATATCGGCTGGTGGTGGGCTTGGGCCATTACAAATGGTATCAGAACCAGACACCGGGCCATGTGCCAACGAGGAGGCTGAGCTCCGAAGGGGGTGGACACGAGATGGTGTGCCAGCAAGGATAGTGGGCCTCGAAGGGGGGTGGATTGGGGGTCCCACATTGATTGAAGAAGGGAATGAGTGCCAACGAGGATGTTGGGTCGAGAAGGGGGTGGATTGTGAGATCCCACATCGGTTGGGGTGGAGAACGATGCATTCTTCATAAGGGTGTGGAAAGCTCTTCCTAGAAGACGCGTTTTAAAACTTTGAAGGGAAGCTCGGAATGAAAAACCCAAAAAGGGCAATATCTATTAGGAGTGGGCTTGGGCTTGGGCTTGGGCTGTTACATCATGACTAAATTTCTGATGAGAACAAAAAATGATCTAGTGCTTTTTACCCTTCTTTTAGTCTCCTTATTTACCTGAACTGTTGAGAGCTATGGTGTGGTAAAAGGCCACAGATTTCCTCTTCATGAGCTATTTCAGAAGAATTTACTCGCCAATTTCTTACTGCTGTGATAAACACTNCTTAAGCCAGGTTATCTTACTCGATATACGATTTCAGATTTCAATACACAGCTTTAAATTACAGTGCTAGCGAAACAGTCTTTTTTCACGTGGTATTCCCCTTACCGTAGATGTAAGTTCTTGCAAAACATAGGAAAGCAGCCAACCCAACAGCACTAAGCCCAGCAAGCAACCAGTAGAAGTAATCAAGATGAGCTTTGTTCAGATTATTATTGAACCAGCTTTCTTTGCCATCCCCACTGCTTAGATTTTCAATGGCAGAGATGAGAAAGCTGCTTAAGAAGTTGCCAACGCCAAAAATACTCAGGTACAGCGACAGACCGATGCTTCTTAATCCGCTCGGAGCCTGGTCATAGAAAAACTCCTGCAACCCAACCATGGTGAAAGCATCGGCAACTCCAAATAGTACATATTGAGGAACCAGCCACCATATACTCAAAGGAACAGTCGCCTTTGGCAGATCAACCAAACCATATTCTTGAGCTGTTTCGAGCCTTTTTATCTCGACTAATGCAGCAATGACCATGGAAAGAGCAGATAATAGCATCCCAAATCCAATTCTCTGTAGCATTGTAATTCCAGAAGGTTTCCCAGTGAAATTTCTTGCAATCGGAATGAGTATGCGATCATATATCGGGAGGGAAACGACAATGGACAGACCGATAAAGGATTGAAGTGAAGCAGCAGGTACGTCGAATCCAGGAACTATTGATCTGTTCATCGTGACTCCTTGTTTAGTAAAGAAAGTTGATGACTGGGAGAATACAATAGCATATGCTAAGCATGTAACCCAGATGGGAACAAGCCTAAGTACTGCTTTTGCTTCCTCAACTTCACTGATGGTACATGTATGACCGCCTTCCTTCGAACTATAAGGTACAATCAATGCTTTGTTGAGGAACCTACCAAAGTATAGAATCCAGAAAGAAAAGGGTTACAATAATACATATAAACTGGCATGTAAATCAGCCCACGTCAGTTGGGGAGGAGAACAAAGCATTCTTTACAAGGATGTGAAAACCTCTCAAAAGCTTGAAGGGAAGCCCAAAAGGGTAAGCCCAAAGAGGACAATATCGGCTGGTGGTGGGCTTGGGCCATTACAAATGGTATCAGAACCAGACACCGGGCCATGTGCCAACGAGGAGGCTGAGCTCCGAAGGGGGTGGACACGAGATGGTGTGCCAGCAAGGATAGTGGGCCTCGAAGGGGGGTGGATTGGGGGTCCCACATTGATTGAAGAAGGGAATGAGTGCCAACGAGGATGTTGGGTCGAGAAGGGGGTGGATTGTGAGATCCCACATCGGTTGGGGTGGAGAACGATGCATTCTTCATAAGGGTGTGGAAAGCTCTTCCTAGAAGACGCGTTTTAAAACTTTGAAGGGAAGCTCGGAATGAAAAACCCAAAAAGGGCAATATCTATTAGGAGTGGGCTTGGGCTTGGGCTTGGGCTGTTACATCATGACTAAATTTCTGATGAGAACAAAAAATGATCTAGTGCTTTTTACCCTTCTTTTAGTCTCCTTATTTACCTGAACTGTTGAGAGCTATGGTGTGGTAAAAGGCCACAGATTTCCTCTTCATGAGCTATTTCAGAAGAATTTACTCGCCAATTTCTTACTGCTGTGATAAACACTCGTCCAATTCTTACAAATGGGTTTTCCTCATCTCCTCTGTTAATGAACCTGTACGTCCTAGTTCCAAGCAAGAAGACTACGAGTGCCAAAACCATAGAAATACAAGGAATTCCAAACCCAAGACTCCAGCTGAGGTTATCTTGCACATAGTTTAAGATATTAACAGTTGCAAATGTGGCCAAAGAGATACAGAAATACCACCAATTGAAGAAAGAGCTTTTAGCTTTGCTCTCTTCTGGATGTTGTGCATCAAATTGGTCAGCTCCGAAAGCTTGGACGCAAGGCTTGTGTCCACCTTGAGCAAATGCCACAATATATACGGAGGAGAAAAATAGAATTACTTGGAAAAGGCCGGGGGAACATGGTAGGGATTTTTCGGTCTGTTGGCAGCCAGAAATGCTGGGAGAATGAAGCGTTGCAGACACAGTCAACAATCCAAGTCCCTGGATTCCAGAATCAACAAAATAAAAAACGAACAAAACGAACAAAACGAAAAAAGTTAACAAGGTAACCTTGTTGAGGATTGTCGTCCCACGTTGGCTAATTAAGGAAATGATCATGGGTTTATAAGTAAGGAATACATCTTTATTGGCACGAGGCCTTTCGGAGAAACCAAAAGCAAAGTCACGAGAGCTTATGCTCAAAGTGGATAATATCATACCATTGTGGAGATTCGTGGTTCCTAACATGGTATCAGAGTCATGTCCTTAACTTAGCTATGTCAATAGAATCCTCAAATGTCCAGCAAAGAAGTTGGGACCCTCAAAAGTGTCTCGAAAGTGTAGTCAAAAGTGACTCAAGTGCGAACAAATGGTGTAATTTGTTCAGGGGCTCCAGTGAAAGGAGTCGAGCCTCAATTAAGTGGAGGCTATTCGAGGGCTCCATAGACCTCAGGAGAGGCTCTATGGTGTACTTTGTTCGAGGGGAGGATTGTTGAGGATTGTTGGGAGTGAGTCCCACGTTGGTTAATTAAGGAAATGATCATGGATTTATAAGTAAGGAATATATCTTTATTGGTATGAGGCTTTTTGGGGAAACCAAAAGCAAAGTCATGAGAGCTTATGCTTAAAGTGGACAATATCATACCATTGTAGAGATTCGTGGTTCCTAACATGGTATCAAAGTCATGCCCTTAACTTAGTCATGTCAAGAATCCTCAAATGTCGAACAAAGAAGTTGGGACCCTCAAAAGTATAGTCAAAAGTGACTCAAGTGTCGAACAAAGAGTGTACTTTGTTCGAGGGCTCCAGAGAAAAGAGTCGAGGCTCAATTAAGAGGAGGCTATTCGAGAGCTCCATAGGCCTCAGGAGAGGCTCTATGGTGTACTTTGTTCGAGGGGAGGGTTGTTGAGAATTGTTGGGAGGGAGTCCCACGTTGGCTAATTAAGGGAATGATGTATATAAGTAAGGAATACATCTTCATTGGTATGAGGTTGGCTAATTAAGGGAATGATGTATATAAGTAAAGAATACATCTTCATTGGTATGAGGCCTTCTGGGGAAACCAAAAGCAAAACCATGAGAGCTTATGCTCAAAGTAGACAATATCGTACCATTGTGGAGATTCGTAGTTCCTAACATGGTATCAGAGTCATGCCCTTAACTTAGCCATGTCAATAGAATCCTCAAATGTCGAAATTGGGACCCTCGAAAGTGTAGTTAAAAGTGACTCAAGTGTTGAACAAAGGGGTGTACTTTGTTCGAGGGCTCCAGAGAAAGGAGTCGAGCCTCAATTCAGGGGAGGCTATTCGAGGGCTCCATAGGCCTCAAGAGAGGATCTATGGTGTATTTTGTTCGAAGGAAGGATTGTGAAGGATTGTTGGGAGGGAGCCCTACATTAGCTAATTAAGAGAATGATAAGTAACGAATAATCTTATAAGGCCTTTCAGAGAAACCAAAAGCAAAGCTCAATATCATATCATTTTGAAGATTCGTGATTCCTAGCCAACTTATGCCTGATCTTGGAGCACATGAATTTAGAGTTTGTTTCGGCTATAAAATATTACGTGAAAGATCAATCACTTTACAGGAAGTAAACAATCCAAACTACCAGAGCCCTAGCCAATAACTTGGATAGTGTTCTAAACTTTATAGGAAAAAGAAAAGGCAGTAAAAGAAGAGAATAAAGTAGAGGAGGAACCAGGATGTAAAGGACAGAGGAAAGAGCGATGGTACGGTATCGTCCGAGGAAGGAATCAGCCAGAAAGGCGCCGAGTAGAGGCAGCAAGGAGGCGGCAGCCGACCAGACATTGACATTCTCCGCCGCTGTGGCCGTCGACTGGCCGAGCTGGTCGGTCAAGAAGTTAATTAAGTTGGAGGAAACTCCGTAGTAGGCGAATCTCTCGGCAACCTCCACTCCTAACAAGAATTGGAGAGTATACAGAAATTGGATCGGGAAAGAGAAGAAAAAGAAGAGGCGAATGATGATTTACCTATGATGAGAGCGGCGGATCTCCAGCCGCCGGAATCGGATCTCCGGACTGGGCGGCCATGGTAATCAACAGCACCCTCCACCGTGTCTTCCAAGAGAGGAGCCTCCATTTTAGCGTTTAGTGCGGAGGGAGAGCCGCCTCAAATCCCAATCATTCACTCCGGATTCCACTTTCCAATATTATCCAATTTTATGGGTTAAATTGTCATTTTAAGCTGAAAATACACATTTATGTAACAAATAAGGTTTTAAACATCCTTCTCCCTTCAAATGGGAAGGTTTCAATTTAATCCAAATGTTCATGTTCATGCATATTTATTATAATATTTACGTATAAAAAAATCATATTTAAATTAAATTAATATATTTTTAGTATTTGGTTGATATTTTATTTAATTTTTTTTAAGATATAATGAAAATGCAATTCATGCTCGTGTTAACGTCAAACTAATAATCAAACATGCTCGTGTTAATTTAATTTTTCTAAATTTTTTTTTAAAATTTTTAATATTGGGTTGTGACCGAAAAGGAAACAATTCCTCTAAAAATATAACATTTCTTGAAATAAAGAACTCCTGCTTTGAAATATCAAAATGCTTATCAATGCCTCGAGGATATCCAACAAATACACTGTTAGATTGAATGGCACGACGACCTATATGGGTCACGACCTCATGTATTTATAGAGGTGTATAATGAAGATTACATTCCAAATCTATGATTTGATAACAAACCATGAAATCATAGATTTGGTAACAAACTAGTAAATCCTAGATTATCTTAGTATATACAGATATGATCTATTTTAGGTTTAACATACACATGGTGTAGCCCTTGGATCAAATTTAGTCTGGCTAGAAGAAAAGATATAGTTGATAGCTCTAAGTAAAGACGGCCTAGATATAATGTAGTTGGGCCGACGGAATGATATACCATAAAGGGATTCAGTTGTGCCTTAATCAGAAAGGAAACCGACCTAGATTCAGTTAGGTCCATGGTGGTTTCTGTTGAGGATTAAAGTAGTTCTATATTGGTTCATTGGCTAATTAAGAGGATGATCATGAGTTTATAAGTAAGGAACACTATCTTCATTGATACGAGGCCTCTAGGGGAAACCAAAAGCAAAGCATAGTACTTATGCTCAAGGTGGACAATATTATACCATTGTAAGATTCATGGTTCCTAATAGTTTCCTTGACAACAAAGAAACCAAAAAAGCAATCAAATTTCGAAGAAAGGAAGAATTTAATAGGGAAGAGGGGGCTACCCTCGACCCAATCATCCTATTCGCTCCAAGAGACAGGCATGGTTCTGTCACTATAGGCTCGAGAAACAAAGAGGAGATGATGCAGACTGGATCTTTTCCTAATCGACTCGGATTGGGAAGACCTTTCGCAGGACACTATTCAAAAAGTGGGGACTACATTCGCTTACGATCATGACCTCATTCTTCTTTTCTATTTCGAACAACTTCCCTCCACGGTACCGGAGAGCTAGTTGAAGCTTTGGATGGAGTGGGACCTGCTTCTTAGGGCAGATATCTCCTCCCTTTAATCGTACTTTTTGAATCTAATATTACTTCAGAGTCAGGCACAAGACTTAAGGAAGGTAAACAGGAGTTAACGGCAGGCGCAATAGAAAGTTGGAGGCAGGCAGGCGATAGGCTTAGATCAGATGCAAGCAAGCTCAGTCTCAATATGCACATTAGAGAAGGGGGGAGTGTGAGGTGGGTTGGCCCTTCGGTCAAGAGGTGGGATAAGTAGAATGTTGAACGAAAGTCTCATATCGACTAATTTAGGGAATGATCATGAGTTTATAATCAAATAATACTATTTCCATTGGTACGAGGCTTTTTGGGGAAACCCAAAGCAAAGCCATGAAAGCTTATGCTCAAAATAGACAATATCATACCATTATGGAGAGTCGTGTTCATCTAACATGGTATTAGAGTCATGCTCTAAACTTAGCCATGTCAATAGAATTCTCAAACGGCGAACAAAAGACTCCAAAAGAAAAAGGAGTCAAAGCTCCTCAAAGGCATAGTAAAAAAATGATTAAGACTCCAAAAGAAAAGGAATCGAGTCTCGATTAAAAGGCGGCGTACTTTGTTCGATAGGAGGTGTTGGATGAAAGTTCCACATTGGCTAATTTAGGGAATGATCATGGATTTATAATCAAGGAATACTATCTTCATTGATATTGATATGAAGCATTTTGGGAAGCCTAAGCAAAGCCAAGATAATTTATGTTCAAAGTGAGACAATATGATACTATTGTGGAAAGGCGTTTGTCTAACATGATATCAGAGTCATGTCCTAAACTTAGCCATGTCAATAGAATTCTCAAAGGTCGAATAAAAGTAGTGTGAGCTTCGAAGGCATAGTAAAAAATGACTAAGACTCCAAAAGAAAAAAGAGTCAGAACCTTGATTAGGGGAGGTGTTGGATGAAAATTGCACCTCCCTAATTTAGGGAGATGAGTTGATTAAACCAAAAAATACTATCTACATTGTTGGCATGAAGCCTTTTGGAGAAGCTCAAAGTAAAGTCACAGGTTCATCTAACCACGGGCCAATCTAGCCAATAACTTGCCTAATTTAGTAAGAAAGGTAAAGTAAAGTAAAAGAAGAAGAGAGAATAAAGTAGTGGAGGAACCAGAGTGTAGAGAGCAGAGGAGCGATTGTGCGGTACCGTCCGAGGAAGGAATCGGCCAAAAAAAGCTCTGAGTAGAGGTAGCATCATGGCGACTCCGGACCAGACATTGACATTCTGCGCTGCTGCGGCCGTGGACAGGCGGAGCTCCTCCGTTAAGAAGTTAATCAGGTTGGAGGCGATTCCGTAATAGGCGAATCTCTCGGCAACCTCCACTCCTAATCAGAACGGGAGAGGATAAAGAAATTGGATCGGAAAAGAGAAGAAAGAGAAGAGGCTTAAGACAATTTACCTATGATGAAGGAGGCGGATCTCCAGCCGCCGAACTTGGATCTGCCGACGGGGCGGCCATTGTAATCGACAGCACCCTCCACCGTCTCATCCAACAAAGGAGCCTCCATTTTGGCGTCGGATTGTGGAGGCAGAGCCGATCGAGAAATTGGACTGATCACTCCATTTCTGAATCCGTATGAAGAAGTTGTATTACTATTTCACTGCATCATGATCCTTATGAAATTATTGTATCGGCCACGATGTTAGCGTGTGATTAATTAATGCGAGTAGCAGGAACAAATTGAACGAGGTTACTTGCTTGCTAATCTTTCAACTCAATTTAATTTTATAAGATAGTTTATGGAAGCTGACTTTTTAACTCTCGATTTTTTTATAACCTGAGATTCAATAACAAGAGAGTTCGTGTTAGGAATCACGAACTACCATGATGATCTTGTCCAGTTTGAGCTTAAAAGCTCTCACGACTTTAGTTTTTTGTTTTTCCAAAATGTCTCATACCAAGGGGCGTTCCTTAGTTATAGGTCCATGATTTTTCTTTTCAATGGAGTGCAAGGTAGCCATAGGAGTGAGTGTTCATAGCATGTTGAGCAAAAGTAGAGAGTGAGTACCGAGAGCAAGGATCAAGATTGATACTTGAGAACAAGAGCCGAGAGCAAAAGTCGAGAATGAGAAGCGAGAACCAGAGTCGAGAGCCCAGAACAAGAAATGCCATATTTACTTCTAATTTTATTGACTTCTTTTTTGGTGATACATTCGACCTTGTTTTCAAAATCTCTCTACCCGCTTTCTAAAATATTTTCTTAAATCAGGGCCAGAGGCTTGAGCATACATTGATCGGCCATAAACAACACGATTCAAAATTGGCTTGACTCACTCGGTACTGAAAGAATAAGTACCGCACAATCACCAAATCCGCTGTCTGGTGACACAAACAAGCAACAGTAAACAGGTAAAAGTCATGAAAATCTGAAGACCATTCTAAACAATGGAATCATATTCCAATCACTCAGTTTCAATACATAGCTTTTAAATTACAATGCTCCAAAACAGTCTTGTTCATGTGGTATTCTTCTTACTGTAGATGTAAGTTCTTGCAAAACATAGGAAAGCAGCCAACCCAATAGCACTAAGCCCAGCAAGCAACCAGTAGAAGTAATCAAGATGAGCTTTGTTCAGATTATTATTGAACCAGCTTTCTTTGCCATCCCCACTGCTTAGATTTTCAATGGCAGAGATGAGAAAGCTGCTTAAGAAGTTGCCAACGCCAAAAATACTCAGGTACAGCGACAGACCGATGCTTCTTAATCCGCTCGGAGCCTGATCATAGAAAAACTCCTGCAACCCAACCATGGTGAAAGCATCGGCAACTCCAAATAGTACATATTGAGGAACCAGCCACCATATACTCAAAGGAACAGTCGCCTTTGGCAGATCAACCAAACCATATTCTTGAGCTGTTTCGAGCCTTTTTATCTCGACTAATGCAGCAATGACCATGGAAAGAGCAGATAATAGCATCCCAAATCCAATTCTCTGTAGCATTGTAATTCCAGAAGGTTTCCCAGTGAAATTTCTTGCAATCGGAATGAGTATGCGATCATATATCGGGAGGGAAACGACAATGGACAGACTGATAAAGGATTGAAGTGAAGCAGCAGGTACGTCGAATCCAGGAACTATTGATCTGTTCATCGTGACTCCTTGTTTAGTAAAGAAAGTTGATGACTGGGAGAATACAATAGCATATGCTAAGCATGTAACCCAGATGGGAACAAGCCTAAGTACTGCTTTTGCTTCCTCAACTTCACTGATGGTACATGTATGACCGCCTTCCTTCGAACTATTAGGTACAAGCAATGCTTTGTTGAGGAACCTACCGAAGTATAGAATCCAGAAAGAAAAGGGTTACAATAATACATATATACTAAAATGGTTTGTTAATCAATTACGATCGCATCTATTGGGGAGGAAAATGAAGCATTCTTTACAAGTGTGTGGAAACCTCTCCCTAAAAGAGGCCTTTTAAAACCTTGAAGGAAAGTCTGGAACGAAAAACCCAAAGATGACAATATTTGCTAGCGGTGGGCTTGGATGGTTACAAATGGTATTAGAGTTAGACATCGAGCGATGTGCTAGTGAGGAAGCTAAGTCCCAAAGGGGGTGGACACGAGGCAGTGTGCCAAGAAGGACACTG